TGGCAGGCGTGCCATAGGTTTGCCATCACGGGCACAGGGTATAGCCTAAATATTCAAGGATGTGGTCATGAAAGCTAAAGCTCAGAATGATCTGCAGCTTGCAACGAATGCCCAAAATAACAAAAGGTGTTATTTGGATATGTGCAGAACAAGAGGAAAGCCAAAGAATTGGTAAGTGTAATGGTTGGTGAAGATGATGAGATGGCAATGAACAATAGGCTGAACTATTTACAGTAAGTCCTATTTTACATTTGTCTTTGCCAAAGGAAAAAGATATGGTCCAACTTGCTGAAGTCACACTGCAGTGAGGATGGAATGCAGAAGAGAAATGCAGGTCAAAATTAATTGGTGAGAGAATACCTTGCTGTTTTGAAAGAAAGGGAGTGGAAACTGGGTAAAAATTTCTAGAACTGTTAGGTCTAGTGATGGTTTATTGAGGAGAGGGACACCACCACTTTACTCAATGCAGACGGAACCACCTCCCAAACATGAATTCATTTCATGGAAGTATCCACATGTCATATCTTGGCAGGCCTTATATAGACAGGAGGGACATGGATCTACAGGACAGAGAGGCAATTAACAGTCCCAAGTAGCCATTCATTTTCTCAGGAGTTACAGAGTGAAATATTTCCCAGGTAAGAGGATAAGATCAAGCCTTACTCAACTAGATTTGCCACATTCAAATGGATTTAAGTGACTTTAGTTGTTAGAAGCCTGGAATATTACAGTGGCCCTGAAGATAATCTTGTGAGCTCTTTCCCCACAGCAATTAATGGGTCACCTCAGAAAGGGTCAGCAAATGCAAGAAGTGGAAAAATAGATATGTCCAATCTTCCAATAACATTTACAGATCTAATGAACAATATCTGCTGAGCTGAACAATTTATGAGCATTGAGATACAAACATTCTACTCAGTTAATGGTAGGAAATATTTATACCAAAGAAGAAGAGTTTAGGATGACATAGCTCCCTAACTAGAGAATCAAAAACATTAAATTGAACAAATCTAAATACATAGCACATGTCTGTGCACCCTCATAAATATAATGTTGAACTATTTATAGACTATTCAGACCTTACATTGAAAGATCACTGCAAAACAGTTCAGTGCAAAGAATAGTTTTCAAGTCATCTCTTGTCATAACAAGAATGAAAGAAGATACCACCTGGGTTGTGCTTTTAAAGGAAGAACTTGTGACAAGCAACCCTGGACTCCAAGGTTGCTTGTCACAAGTTATTTCTCTTTGCTACGAAGCATTCAAATTTGCAGTACTCTGAGTTTTACTAAGGGTATCCAAGAGCTTTCTCCAATTTTTATTTAAATGAAGTAGATTTCACTTTTTTAAAAAAGAGGCACATAATTAATGCAAGTATAATAATAGTCCAGCTATTCCATTAAATAGTCTTGGTACAATATTTTTCTGTACAACAGAAGGATTGTGGACAGGCTGCAGAACAATAGGGGCAAAAACACAAAGAGACTATTTTGAAGATAGAGACTTGGAAATAAGAGGCATGTATCTCTACCTTAATGTCAGCATGTTAGAGAGTCTCCACCTGCCAGAGCTTGAATCACTGCCTCATTTTGACTAAAATTGACGTTTTCACCTTAATTGCATCCAAGCCCAGCAGGTGGCTGCCCCAAAAATATCTCCAAAGCCATTCAAAAGCAAATCAATCTGGCACCAAATCTCCCAAGCAACAGAGAAGTTCCTCCTGTTGACAGAAGATTTCAAGTTCCAATTTTTTTGGTTCCTGTAGTTCTATATTCCATCGTTTATACTGATCCAAATAGTTCCACAGCTCTTCAGAAAAGTTTTACAGAAAAATAGAGGGAAAGGAAAGAAGGAACTGTGAAAATCATTTGTCTTACTTCCTTCTTTCAGCACAAATAGAACAACATGAATTCTATATTTAATCCAAGCTTGAGATCACAGCATTCTATTTATTACAAGCTCCCATAGCACTTTCCATGTCCAATAGTAATAAGTTCACCTACACCTTCAAGAGATATGTGAAGGAATGCCTGAAGCACCCCCTAATTAAGCAGTAAAACCAGAAGCCTCTTGCACAGAAATAAAACTTACGAGAAATTTCAAGCCGATCATGGCACAGCATTAATTGTCAGCTTTCTTTACAGGTAATAGCTTAGTTCAGGGCTGTCAAATTCCCAGCCCGTGGGCTGGATGCATCAAGTGTTGGCCATGGCCACTCCCATTTAGCAAAGGGGGGAAAAATCCCAATATATCATATGACACCACTGTGACGACATGAGTTTGACACTCCTGGCCTAGTCCAATGTTTCTCAACCTTGGCAACTTTAAGATGTGTGGACTTCAACTTCCAATTCCACAGAACCCACCCACAACATTGGCTACCTGGCTGGTACTCGGATTTGGAAGAATCCATATTGAACACTTCTAAATTTTCATCACTGAAACTAAATCTGGTGCAATTTCATCCACCTTTGGTTGCCTTCATGAAATAGTTCTGAATTTCTAGTTAATAATGACTGATTGACTGCAAAGAGTTTAAGTCCTTCCACCTGCCATCAGTTAGAACTGAAGAAGCTTCTTGGATGAAAAGTGAAATGTCTTCAAGAAAAAAACAAGAAAGTCAGTTTGAAAAAAGCACCTTTTGGGACAACCATGACCTGGATGGCTGAGAACCTCCATACACATTCTGATCAATAGGGTTTGGTAATCTCATCTGGTTCTATGATGAGTACCAAAACGTTTTGATCAGAATGTCCAAGTCCACAAAACAGAGTAATGCTATGATTTCATAGTCTTGTAACATTTTCTATTTTCTATTCCGATCTATCTGGGTATGAATTCTACTAGACTTTGGCTCTACTATTCATTAAAACCACAGTGCCATTCTAGTAATATTTTATTTGCTAACCCTGATTGTTGTTATATAATTTACAGCTGCCCACAGGCATAGTAAGTAGAAGCTAAAGGAATGCTGGGCTGTATTTGTGTAATTATTTGTATTTTAGAGACATTTTCAGTGAAAAATGAAATCAGAAATATTAAGTTATTAACAAATAAAAAGGCATATAATTAATACATGTTGAGACCAAAAAGCATATTATTATTTGAACATGTTAGATTTTCCAAACTACTGAGCTAATGGCTCTATATTTCTTAACTGATTAGTACCAAATTCAATATTTTCAAATATAAACATTTTGCTTAAAGCACTCAAATCAAGAGAGAGAGAAGCTTTAGGGAGCTTTTCTTCTGATATTCTATGATTTGGAGTTTTAGGTCAGAAATTCTGACATCATAGAATTATAATTTAAGTGCTCTAGAAATGGGAGATCAACATTCTGTGAATTAGCCTAAATTGAAAACTAGAACTCTTGCTTTTAATACCTGAATCATTGTGGCTTAAAACAAAAGAAGAAAATAGAGCATTTGCACTACTTGACTTTCCTTTGAGCAACCTGAAACTCTCCTATGGCATCAAATCCTATGACAACAAATTGGAATGAAAAGAAAGTTATTGTTCTAGAGCCTTTTGGAATATTTAAAATAGTAGTCAATACAATCAACAGAAAGTTCAATTAGCTTTTGATTTATGATGCCACATGTTCTTTTTTTCATGAATGATGTCATTAACATCAGACTCAGCTGGCTTGTTCATCTGTCTCTATCCAGTTTTTGTTGAACACAAACTCTCTAAACAGATGGGGAATTTCGTGGCCACAAATGGAATTGTTAATCCTTCATTGTTCTTGTGTCAAACAATCAAAAGAAATTTATTACCAAAAACTAAAAAAGACCACTTTCTGGTCATCAATTAGCAGAGGAGGGGAGATGATAGTTATTTTGCTGAAAAGTAAATCAAAATAATAAAGATCTGCTTTGAAGCATATACAAAAATGGAAAGCTATAGTGCATCTCATCTGTTTTCCCCAATTGCCATTTTCAAATATTCAGTAAAGAAAATGCTTCATGTAACACATCCACATACCCTAAAACAAAAGTTAGTTTTTGTACTGTAATTAAGCTATTATATTCCAAAGGGTTTTCTACTGGCAAATCCTAGATTTTATCATGATAAATGTTTGGTTAAATAAATGTTCTAATTCCCTGCAAATTTAAGAGAAACACGAGAAATACTGTTTAAGAATAAAAGCTTTTCCCATAAGAATGACATCACTTTTTCCTCTTTTTTTGGTACACTATTTTTTTACTTTGTTGTCTTTGTTAGGATTGACTGTATGCTTTTGTTTCATTTTGTTTTTGTTTTGTATTTTACTTTTTATGATAAAACAATAACATTACAGAAAAAAAATGACATCTGTTGATCACAAAGATGTTCAATTTTTGTTTATGTTCCTGATGACTTTTCAAAGTCTGATATGCTGAACATTTTGTGAAGTGCTCCTTCCCCTGCTCTAGCCTAATAAGAGATGAAATCCAATATCTGGAGAGCCATAGATTCGCATCTGTATTCTATCTGCTAAGAGGAACATTTTAATTATGTCTTCTTTATAAAAACTATATCTGCAGTATGTGTCAACAAATACTCTTATCAAGGAGCTGGAATTGGTGACTGCAGCTTTGGGAACACTACCTTGTTCATGCAACTTGCACCCATTATCAATTATACAAAGATTACAGTCGGTTAATTTTAGTTTGATAGTATGCAATATAATACATGAAAAGACTCTCTATACCTTGTTACAGATTATAGACAGGATGTATATGTGTATATCTGTAGTAACACATCTCCATAAGTGAAGAATACAATATATATGCCATGTCTCATCAAGCAATATAACAGGCATGTTTTTCTCCTAAAGAGCTTTGATTATTGCAATTTTGCAAGGTGGGTCAGCCTATTCAGTTAAAAAATCCATAATTCCTAAATGTCCACTTCTGAAATCTTGTCAAGAAAACTGCAAGGACTTAGCCAGGTAGTCTAGTAAAGGAACAAAAGAGGGATAAGGAAATCGGGAGTGAGAGAGAAAAAAATTGACATATTACCACACATCTTATAGTATTTTATTATCCTGGATAGAAACTGCATTGGATCTCGGTTGAAAAAATTGGATTGGATCTGGGTTGATCCAGACAAAATCCAGACAATCACTAGAGGACATCAAGGAATTAAGAGTTTCTTCAATCATCAATCTCTAATGCATGGAGATCAGATGTAGTAGCCTTAGTGGAGATAAATGCTGTCCACGATTTCTTCTGCCATCCTCTTTTACAAGCAATAAATATCAGAGGACCTTCAGACTCACATTTAAAATACTACCGTAAAACAGTCCTAGTACAAAATCAATAGGGTGCAATATTACAGAGCCAAGAGTTCAAGGCAATTATAAAAACTACAAAGCATTCTTGTTTAAATGGGAATTATGAAGAGAAACTGCTATATGCAACAACCAATAATAATAAAAAACACAACAGGATGTTTTGAACTTATAAAAGTTTTATTCTTATATCCCTGCTTGATCCAGTTGGTGTGGAGCTAGTGAAATGGCAAACCAGAAAATTCTTTAATGTATTGTTCTCATATGATAAAACTATCAATAATTAATTCCAGTGATCACCACTAGTGAATGAAATCTGAATATCTCCCAATTATAATCATGTGTAAAAATAAACATGAATGCTACAGCTCTTAATAGGAAATAACATTTACATATAATCCCCATATAATATTTTGAATTGATTCATCCCCTGAAATGATAAAACACTGCTTAAAGTTAAAAAAAAAAAAGAAAATCAGAAACAAATTAATATAATTTCATAGATGCTTCAAACAGGGCTGACAGCTCCTCTTCTGTTTGAGGACGAGGGGATAATTTAGTCACTCTTTCCTATAAGAAGAAAAAGACAGTACATTCTATAAAGTTCTAGGCAAAACCAATAGTTAGATAGAATACAAATCACAGATAAGATTTGGCACAATGAAAACTTTACTAGGCAACCTGCCTTGTGCTAATATACATTCAGTAATTTTATGGTACACAATGTTAGTATTTCAGTACTAAGGGTGCAATCTTATTTCTTTTGGAATAAAGACCTTTTTAATTAAGTTTTGAGTAAATAGAGAAGCCAGGACTCTGTGCTTTCAGCAGGCTTATTATGACGTCATGGCAGATGATGCAAAAGATGGAGAAAAAGAGATAATTGGAGAGGAGACGACGATTTGGGGCATGTTTCATTAAATTTCTCATAATGCTTGTTGCTGTTACTAAGTATATAAATATATATATATATGTATATATAATGCTTTTTTTGATTATTAGATTCTGATGCATGTCCATAGTTCAGCAGCTTTATTACTGTTCTTTTTTAGCCATGTGCTGAACAAACAGCCACCTACATTGGATCTAAAGGGCTATGTAACAAATCTGAATGTTCAGTAGATGTAACAAATCTGAATGTTCAGTAGAAATACAGACTGTGTTGTGAACTTTCTGAGACTCTGGAAAGTTTGAAAAGTAAGTTGTGACAAAATATATGTGACGTAGAAAATATCTCAGATGTCCTAAGGAAAATTTTGCCTCATATTAGCAAAATTTAATGATGATCTGAGTGTTGGAACAGGAGAAAATGCAAAAATAACAACAAAAAATCTCACACTGCAGCTAATCAGTTTAGGGAATTTGAGGCCCTTCAGAGGTTGGTGACTTCTAACACTCAACATCCCAGGATACACTGCTAGTGATCAACAGTGATGGTCTATAGATTTCCCATTTGTGACCCGGAAAGAATAATAATAGCTTCATGCCTTTTTTTTTCATAACTTCATTTAACTCATGCATACATATACACAGCTGTTTGTTATCAAATGTTGCAATGGAACAGCCATTTTCTGAGAATAAGTATGATTATCATTAAATGTTCCTGAATAAGTAAATGTTTACTTTTTTCTTTTTACTCTCTTTTTGAGACAGAACTTCTATGCAAGAAAAAAAAAAAGAGAAGCCCTATAACAACTTGTTCTTTATACGCTGCTGCTAGTAGAAACAAAAAATATTCTCAGAGCCAGCATGGAAATCTGACCAATTAAGACCTGGTGGTTATTTTCAGAGAAACAAATCTTGCAATCTGTCCTACCTGAGGCAGGGTGCCTTTGACTAAAGCGGGAATGTCAGCTTTTGAATAACCAAGGGCAGATAAGCCATCATCAACATTGAGATCAAATAAAAATTTTCGGAGAGTGTCTGCCAAAATAAACCCAGCATCCTTCATCTTGGCATTACTGATGTTAGCTCCTAAAAAGAAACATCAAGTCTGTAAAGAAATAGTGTTGTAACTTATCATAACATTGAATATCTCATTGATGTATATCTTTACACATTAAAGCAGTTATTTCGCTAAGAACAACATCAACATAAAGTTCATGAAATCACTTCTCAATTAAAGTGGTTTAAAGAATATAGTCTGAGCTAAAATGGGGAACAAAATGAGAGATGAACTTAGCTGCTGTGAAAAATAGTTTGTTTGCTGTTTTTGCATTTAGTAAGACCCATTATTTGGAAGCTGCCCAACCCAAGTTAAAACTTCCCAGATACTGAGAATTTTCATTCTAAATCAGGTATGCTAGCTGGAGATAATGGCAGCCAGACAGGTGAGCAGGGACAGCTGCCAAAGTCTTGTTTAGAAGAGGGACCACATTCAGCATTCCATTGTGGTTTTGTTCTGTCACTTTAGAGAATTTAATTCTAAAGTAATTGAATTCAACTCAATTCTAATTTAATTGAAATCTAACTCCTGTCAACATTCTCAAATTAATGTTTTCCCCCTTGCTTATTGGACCTATCTTCTTTCATGTCTTATTTTTCTTTCCCAAGGCAAGCTAAGGCAAGCTCAGTGCTGATATAAAGCCAGCTGGAAACCTGTGTTTCCTGTACTTTACTCACACTAAACTTTCTGATATGCACATGAAAAGAGTAGCATATAATCAAATTATTAAGTTCAAGACTATCAGGAGATGTGTGGCCAACACAAATTTGAATTTTAAAAGTGAATTAGTCATACCCAAGGAGGTTGACCTGCTAACATTGCAACGTAACATGCAACATAGATTTATATGGGCAGCATATTTTAAAAGCTTGGGAAACACTAAGGAGCACAATCAAAGTGGGCTACTCTCTTCCTGTCTTACTTGTGTGCTTCTGGAATATACCGGTACCTGGTTTTCTAGGCTGGATGAAATGAACCATTGATCTGACCCAGCCATTCCATTCATACATTCTTAAGGCATTGCAATCAAAAGGAGTGGAATGTTTTTATATAACATCAAAGTTGACCAGGCTAACTTCTGTTACCAGACTCAATATCAATGATCTTCTTTATATCAGTTCCAGTAACCTCCACAGGTTAAATGAGAACAGCTTTTTCTTTTCCTAGACAGTTTCCAAAGTCAAATCGCCAGGAAGGGCAAACATTGTCTCCATCTTCTCTGGCAATTTTTTTTTAAAAAAATGTATGACTTTTATCAACAGACTCATACCCATTATTTGGGCAGCCTCCAAGTGGCGCTCTGGACACATTGGTGCTGTGAAGGTAAACACTGCTGGAGAGGTGAGGATGACCGAAAGGCCATGTGGCTGAAGCAAAACAAAACAAAGCACAGCACATTTTATTTAGACATATTACCAGAGGTGAAATGCTACTGGTTTGCTCTGCTTTGGGCGAACCGGTAGTGATAAAAACTACCGGTTCGGGCGAACTGGTAGTTTAAAAAAGCTACCGGTTCCTTAGAACTGGTAATTCCGACGATCAGCTGTAGTGTGGGGTTTAGCTTCGCTAGAAAACAGGATTTCCTGCTTTCTAGCAAAGCTAAATCGCGCGCCACAGCTGAACCCCCCCCTCGCTGTTGTACTTACCTTCCCAAGCCTCCTTTTGACGCATACTGTGCATGCCAGCGGTATCAACCGGTAGCAAACCGGTTCGGATTTCACCACTGCATATTACCAATAATCATCAACAGAATTCACTGAAAAATCATAGTAACAAACTTATATCATTATGGACAAAGAACTAATGGGTATAATAAATTGTTACCACTAAAGAATGATCCACATTATAATCCTTTGCTTTATAATTCTTCACCAAACCGGAAATTGGATAAGACATGCCATGGCTGGAAAGAACAAAGAACTTCAATTAGTACCAAAATTATGGAATAAAGAAATCATGTAAACAATTTGAATAGATACAAGTTAATAATAATGTAATTGTCCAGAAAAAGGTTACAGAAAAAATATTTGTGAGTGCCTCACCTCCCAATTCTCTCAGCCAAACTGTGTTTTCATTTCAGTTGTACAAAGGAACTGTTACTAATGGTGATATACTGTATTTTTCAGAGTATAAGACACATTTTTTTCCCTCCTAAAAGAGGCTGAAAATTTAGGTGTGTTTTATACTCCGAAAAATACGGTAATCAAAACCCAACTGAATTTCCCTACGTTGTTTATTTTGAAGCCTTTTGATTTTTACCAAGCATTTGTTTTGTTAGTGCAAATAAAAATGACTTACTTAACTTACCAAAGATGTACACCAGCATTTCCAAACCCAATGCCAGCAAAAGCACTTGCCAGATGCATGTTAAATCTTGCTTCTTGATCTTCTGGATTCTTTATGGCTCTGCCCATAATAACAATATTTTATTCAAGAAAGCAGATATGTTCATATGTAGAAGATAAGTTCTTGTAGCATGTTAGGTGTTAACAAGTTATTACTCTTCATTTTTTCATAGAGAATAAACCCTTTGTTTGTATTTTAGCAGAAAGCGTATTATTTTTCATGCAGAAAATCCCAGCTCAATCTGATGGCTTCCAGCTGCATCATGCTACAATTCTATTACTAGCTTTGCTATGTAGGAACGAGGATAAGTGACTGTTGTAGGACTGTTAGGTACCATAGTTTATGATGGGAAATGCTCTGCAAATAGAATGGACAGCAGCAGACTATCCAGACAACTTGTTTAATCTACAGAAATATCTTCCTGGTTTCTCATTTTATCAGAAAATGGATAAAAGAAAGATCCTATCTCTTTTATATATATTATATATCTACAAATATTGATAGAATTTTTTGAGGAATCCTTGAGGACTGGAAAGGAAGATCATTTACATTCCTTGTTCCCTGAAGAAAGGATATGACAACTACTAATATCAATATTCAAAATGTACATGTTTGGAAAGAAACTCAAACTATCTTGATCAAGAGTGTGATGCATTGCATTTGTTCCGAGTTAGCATCATAAAGGTTTTGTGTTCTTGCTTTAGAATAACAGGGTTGGAAGGGACTTTGGAGGTCTTTTAATCCAACCCCTTGCTTAGGCAGGAAACCCCACACCACTTCAGACAAACGGTTATCTAATTTCTTCTTAAAAACTTCCAGTGTTGGAGCATTCACGACTTCTGGAGGCAGGTTGTTCCACTGATTAATTGTTCTAACTGTCAGGAAATTTCTCTTAGTTCTCTTAGTTGCTTCTCTCCTTGATTAGTTTCCACCCATTGCTTCTTGTTCTACCCTCAGGTGCTTTGGAGAATAGTTTGACTCCCTCTTCTTTGTGGCAACCCCTGAGATATCGGAACACTGCTATCATGTCACCCCTAGTCCTTCTTTCCATAACAGGAGGACTGTGAGTATCCAAACTTTGTGATGTGTCAGATTTCCTTAGTTGGACTTTGTAATTGCCAGTCTTTCAGTAATGGGATGCCCTGCACAATTCCTCAAAAATTTGGCTGGGAACAATGGGATTTGTAATCTAACATATCCAGGTAGCACTATTTTATGGCAAACTGTTTTATTTGTTCCTTATAAATTTATTTCAGGAATTAGCCTGATTAACCCAAATCCTAACCCAATAGGACTTAAAAACCCATACAACACAGATTGTATATTTTAAAGTTTAAGTATTAATTTGGATACTGAAAGGGAAAAAAAATTAATACAAGGATAAAAGGTCATTTGAAGACCTGTACCTCTTTAAGTATTTAGAAACAATCCGTAATGCATGGACAGCCCAGACATCACTGATGGGGTTACTTCCTTGATAAGCTGGCCGATTCACTGGGTTTGAAGGACAAGGGCTGCGCTGGTTGTAGGGAAGAGCAGTGTAGGATTCAAGAGCATGGCTGGCAGGTTGAATGGGGAAGTGGGAGAAATACGGTATATAAGAATTTGACTTTATGATTATTTCCTATAAGGATTTACAAATCAATATTATTTACAAAGCAGAAGGTCAATTACTGTTCCTTACCTTTTCAAAATGGTAAAATGTTAAAATACCTTCGTACCTAGACTTAGTGCAACTTTTTCCCAAATATATTGAGCTACCAATAAATTAATACAGGGTTTGGTTATGAGAGGATGAATGTTCTCCTAATGCTTCTTTTATTCCTCCTCAGGACCAAAAATATTCCCTTATAATTAATTAAGGTCAATTTAAACAAAAGAAATTGAAGTACCGTTATGTTTCAATAAAAGATAACTAGGGCTTGTCCTGATGAGGTCAAATGGATTACTTATTCCACCTTTTTGTCCTCAGAGAGACTTTTGGCTGAATGCATAGAAAAGCAGGGAACTACAGTTGGAATTGTAGCTAATGAGGCAAAAACTAGACCTCATTCCCAATTTATTTGTTTGTATGTAAGGCAAAAGCAATAGACTTCAGGATTCCACAACCTGTTGGGTGTACTAACTATACCCAAGGGACAGCCAATCTATTTCACTGAAACTCTATGTCGAGCCCCGTCCGCCATGTCTGGCGCTCAACACACGAACTGCAACTAAGGAGGACTCGGGCGGACGGATGGTCCGGACCTCAGGAGGTAACTGGTTCCAGAGAGCTGGGGCAGCCACAGAGAAGGCCCTCCCCTGCGGGCCCACCAGCCAGCAATGTTTAGCTGCCGGCTAGGATACGGAGCTTGGCAAGGATACACGGGTGTTCATAGGGGCAGTGATATGGATGGTGATGGTAGCACTGGGTCATAAGCATAAGCAGAAGGTGTGGGAGGTGATCGGAGGAGGATAACGCAAGCCGAGACTCTGCTTTGCTTCTCTTTTGAAATGCTTCCTATGCTTTTCCCCTACCTGTGGGCGGAACTGCCTCTTATCAGACCATTGCCCAGGCTATATATCTTCCTCATGTCTCCCAACATCATTCCCACATGCAGAATCATCCCAAATTGTGAAGTTATCTAATGTATACCAAAAAAGTTGTATAAAATGTACTTACCAAAGCACATCAAAACCACTATTAGCTGCCACCCGCTCTGGCATATGGAGAGTATGTAATGGGTCAATAATACCCAAAGAAGGCTTAATGGATCTAGATGCAATTCCTAAATATAGAAAAATATGTATGTATACCTAGAAATGAGAACTTTCTAAATAGATTTTGCAATAATGATTAAAAATGATTTACACTATGCAAAGTATTAGACCCTTTCAAATAATTAAGAATGTTATTGAGATTTAAATAAAATTTCAGAAAAGAAGTTTTTTTAAAAAAGCCAAGAGTTATTATAAAATAAAAATAAATGCATATGTACAATCCTTACCAGTTTTTACTTTTAGTTCTTTGTAATCAAAAATAGCAACTCCAGTGGTTTCACTTCCAGTTCCAGCTGTTGTAGGAACTTTTGAAAAGAGCAAATTAAATTCAATAGTACATTTAGCTACACATCATTACACACACAATAACGTTCATCAGAGGTGGGGAATGTGCTGCCCTCAGCTACTGATGGCTTATTATATTACAACTTTACTTCAAAAGCTGTAGCAACTTCATCTGGAATTCAGTAGCACATATATGAATTTATTACTCATCATGAGTTATTTACTCATCAGTAAACCAACCAATTTATTGTGAACTGTCAAATAGCCTGTACAAGGTTGTCAGCTGCTATATTATAACCCAGTATCTGCCTTAGGAACAATAAAATGTCATGATGTAGAATCATTCTGGGAAAAATGTTGAAAACTAGGAAAAAATAATTGTAAAACAAGAGTGAGAAGAAAAACTTGAGCAGACTCTATTATAATGAAAAGTATCTGTTATCGTTAGAAAAGTTCTCTAGTTATGCGAGTATTTCCATGGTGTGATTTCCCCAAATAGCTCAGAGATCTAGTCAGCTCCAATCCAGTGGTGAAATCCAATTTTTTTTTACAACTGGTTCTGTGGGCATGGCTTGGTGGGCATAGTGTGGCTTGGTGAGCATGGCTTGGTGGACATGGCAGGGGAAGGATACTGCAAAATCTCCATTTCCACCCCACTCCAGGGGAAGGATACTGCAAAATCCCCATTCCCTCCCCACTCCTAGGGGAAGGATATTGCAAAATCTCCATTCCCACCCCACTCTGGGGCCAGCCAGAGATGGTATTTGCCGGTTCTCTGAACTACTCAAAATTTCCGCTACTGGTTCTCTGAACTGCTCAAAATTTCTGCTACTGGTTCTCCAGAACCTGCCAGAACCTGCTGGATTTCACTCCTGATCCAATCAAATTAGTTTACAAAACCAATTCAAGAAAGAGAACTTAAACCTATCACACAAGCTCTATTGTTTTACAATCACCCCCCACCCCAGTCCATAGATTTTCCTTACCTGCTATCAGAGGTTTGAGCTGGATTGTAATAGGCTTGCCTTTTCCAATAGGAGCATTGACATAATCTAAGAAATCTGATTTTGGACTTGATGCATAGAGATCAGCAGCTTTACAAGTATCTATGACTGAACCCCCGCCTACGGCAACATAGGAGTCAAACTCCCCCTTTTTGGCAAACTCAATGGCATCTAGGAAACTTGAAATGAAAAAAAAATCATTTCAATTGATTTTATACTTATCCAATTCACAATTTATAAAATATTGTAATGTGTCTAAGAGTCACAGTAATATCTAGAGTGCACAACTTCTCCATCTCTGCCTAATTATTCCTGTAGGTTACACAAACGTAGGGAAGGATAAATACCTTTGGTCTGTGGGCTCCACTCTCACATCATCATAGATTTGGAAGTTTATGCCATTGATTGTCAGAGAATCTAACACTGCTGTCATGGGAGGAAGCTGACAAAGATTCTTATCTGTCATCACACAAACTTTTTTAGCACTCCAATTCTTCAAGTCCTATAGTAAATGAAAATGTAGTTAAAACAAAGAAAGTGAAAGGGGGAAAAGACCAATCTGAAAATGGTGTTCCATCATAAAACGCCAGATATTCAACTTGGTAGTTGGCTGCCCATTCTAGGGTTCCCAAATTATCCCTCACTAACTTGTATCTTTATGTGGATTTCTGAAATGGAAAGAACAATTAACAGATTAACACAGTCTCAAAAGATATCTATTGTATCATCTTTTCCAATTGGATCCAGTTGGAGGAGTATAATAATTAATTCCTTGACTGCAACATTGCAAAAATCAAAAGAAGTCTTTCCAAATCAGGGTCTCTCCATATGTATTCGATTTCAAATCTTGCAATCCTTAGCTGACCTAGCCAAAAACAATGGCAGACGCAGGATATTTTATAATAATTCTGTTTCATATGATATAGATATAATGCATGTAACATTTCACAGAAGAATTAAGTAACCACTTTTTTGAAATATTAGAAACTAGTCTATACCATTCCCACTTCTTTAGTAACTCCCTCTCCATATCGGATATTGGAAACAGCCATCTGGAAAAGTAAAAAAACAACAACATTTCAGTAAAAATAGTTTATGAAAGTATGCACACAAGTCACTTTTTAATATAACTAATGGAAGTGTGCCTTTCAACAAGTAGCAATTTGTTTACTGTCTTTACCTCAAAGGCATAGTCTGTTTTCCCCAAAGCAATGTCTTTAGTACCTGGAATGAAAACAATGAAGTTAGCTTGCTGTTTAGTTTATGGAAAACCACAGAAATTCTACAGGAATGGTTATTGCATTTGGGGTTCTGTAACGTTTTAAGAATTTCACCATAGAGATGAAGGCAAATCTATAAAATGCCATCCTTGTCATGGAAACTGAAGAGACATATAACAGCTATCATAAAGGCATTTCCAATCACAAAGCAAGCATTTATCAGAAAGAAAATTGGCATGATGACTCTCTACTACCTTTTTAACATTTTCTGATACTCTAATACTCTTGGGGTTCAACTTTTTTAGGTACTATTTTTAATTTCAAGAACACCTCTAGGCCTAAGGCTGGCACTTTGCAGTCTGACATCTTCCTGTTTAATTTCATCTAAATTTAGAAGAATCTTTAGAAAGATCAGGGAACAGATTCGTTTTTCTCTCCCCTTCCCTTCCATATTTGCACTTCCGTTCCAAATATGGCATTATTTCTGGACTCAGCAACATTAGAGTAGGCCTATTGAAAAAAAATAGTACTCACCTTTATAATAACCAGGTTATTGCTTTGCTATCTAGCTAAGTCTAGAGCCAATCCAGCCATATTTTTTTCCAGAGTGCAGCACATATATCCATCCATCCATCCATCCACCCATTCCTTCCTATACAAAAAATGAGACATTGGTTCCCTTGCTCAGTCAAACCACTTCTGTCTGGAAGCAGCATTCAATATTTAGTTTCTGAATTTATGGCCAAGCAATTAAGCCATGACAATAAGTTTACTAATAAGCCTTGGGATGCAGTGATGCACCCAACAATTAATATAGAAACATTTCTGTTTTCTCGGTCTGCGCTTAAACCTGCTGTCTTTGGGTTGCTTGTTATGCTCTCTCTCATCGGTTCTGCTCACGGTCGACTTCCTCTAATGTCTGAATCTGCAATAATTTCTGTGATTAATTTGACATCCCAACAACATGTCAAAACCACTTCTACTATTTTCTTTGGATGGTACAATAGAAATCCTGCTGTTTTATTATCTGGCAGAGCTAAGCTTTTGTTAAAGACTTTATTGGTCTTGCAAAATTATATGTATTGTTCTCTTTGGAACATGTATATTTTTGAAACATACAATGGTTCTGAAGAGGACTTGCAATAAAGCCACTCTTTTACCATTTCATTTATCACTGTGGTTTAATGTTTATTTTTTTGAAATTTATATAGAATTCTTTTTCATTAAATTATGCAAAATGGCAAGAAAAGTAAAAGCAAAATAACATACCCTTCACTCTCTCAGCCCAACCCACCTCACAGGATTGTTGTGTGGAAAATAGGAGGAGGAAGGTGTATGTGGTATGTTCACCACCTTGAGTTATTTATAAATAATAATAATGACAGGATAAAAAAAATTAAAATAAAATAAAATAACCAGCAAGTTTTGCTTTGTAAATGACCAGGTTCAATTACTCCTATTGCTTGAACTGTTTTAACTGTAACCTACTTTCAGGTTTTATTTTTAAGTGGAAGCTGTATAGAAATTTTTCAAATAAACAAATTATTAAATTCAACAATACATGAATCAAACAAGAGTTATTGTAATATATATGTGTTGCTCTTCCTCCAGGCAGCTTTTTTTTTTTTACTACATGTTCTGTGGGCATGGCTTGGTGGGCGTGGTGTGGCTTGGTGGGCATGGCAGGGGAAGGATACTGCAAAATCCCCATTCCCTCTCCACTCCTGAGGGAAGGATATTACAAAATCTCCATTCCCACCTCACTCTGGGACCAGTGGTGGGTTGCTCCCGGTTCGGCCCGGTTCTACTGAATAGGTAGTAACTTTAGGAAGTAGTTCTCCGAACCGGTAGTAACGGCAGCCAGGCCACACCCCTGAACCGATTCCCCGGTCGCTGCTTGCTCGCCCACCCGAAGCTGATTGGAGCAAAGAAGCCTCTCAGCTGCCTGAGAGGTGTCGAAAAGTCCTTTAGCCGATAAGAAGAAAGCTGCGCATGCGTGAAGATGGCGGCAGCGACCGGAGGTCTTTCTGGCGCTGTGCGCCAGTGGCTGGGTGTAAAAGAAGCCTCTCGGCTTCCAAGTTTAGCAGCAGGCTCAGTCCCTTCACACAGGGTCGCTTTTCTCCGCACCTGAGAAAGATCAAAAGGTGCGGAGCAGCCTTTAATGACGAAGTCGCCTAGACGAGGTAAAAGAAAACAAACCACTAAGGGAAGGAGCCCACCAAAGCTGCCAGCATTACAGCCACCACCACCCATCCCCGCAGCTTGGAGCTCCAAATGGAAGAAGTCCTCGGCTGTTGCGAAGAAGGTACAAAGCGACTCTCAAAGAGAACAAAGCGGGCATGGCGCACCCAGAGCTGCCACTTCTTCGCAACAGCCGAGGAGCGACGCCAGCAAGGAAGGCGGCTGGATTGGAGGGAGGCATAGCCCCAGCTCTCTGGGACGGGTAAACAAGTGTGGGGAGGCGAAGGGGAGCAGACTTGGCTCTCTGCGTGTTGCACCCCCCTCCCAGCCTTCGCCCGTGCCTCTGTGCCACCAGCATCTCCCGAAGCTGCCGCCGTTGGAGCCGTGATAGGGACTGGGGCAGCTCAGTAGCAGCCATGAGCCGTGCTTTCCTCTAAGCACTGGGGGCGGCAGAGGGAAACAGGTGCTTCTCTCTGTGAGACTTGGAGGAAAGCTCAGCTCATGGCTGCTAAAGCATCTCAATCAGCTACAGCCCAGATGAGCTGAGGAACTGCAGGGAGCCTTCTGTGTGTTGCATCCCCCTCCCAGCCTTCGCCTGCGCCTCCATGCTGCCAGCGTCTCCCGAAGCTGCTGCCGTTGGAGCTGCAACAGGGATGGGGGCAGCCCAGTAAGCTGGGTGCCCGAAAATGGTGCTGAGGTGCGGGGGGAAGGCTGGGAGGGGGTGCAACATACGGGAGGCTCCCCGCAGTTCCTTGGCTCATCTGGGCTGCAGCCGAGTCCGCTGCCCTGAGCTGGCAGAGTAGGTTGCTCCGGCTGCAATCACGAGGAAGGACCGTCAGAGGCGAGAAGGGGCGCTTTTCGGCCAGGAAGGGCAACGGAGGGAAAGCAGAGACGACCACCGCCACCCCATGTGTCCCGACCTGGATATGGTGCCGGAGTGTCAAAAAAAAAAAAGTTTCAAAAAGTCCCAAAAATTTTAGCCACCTTTTCAGTGGGCGTGGCTTGGGGGGGTCATGTAACTGAATGCGTGAGTGATGTCATGTTGGCCACGCCCAATCAGTCAGCGCCCCCCACACCTAGCCACCCCCACCGAACCGGTAGTAAAAAATTTTAGAACCCACCACTGTCTGGGACCAGCCAGAGGTAGTATTTGCCGGTTCTCTGCACTATTCAAAATTTCTGCTACCGGTTCTCTGAACTACTCAAACTTTTCGCTAGTGGTTCTCCAGAACCTGTCAGAACCTGATGGATTTCACCCCTGCTATCACAGTATCTCCCGGGATCAGGGGATCAGCATTTGAGAGTTTCACAGCTGACTTCTAACAAGCAAAGTCAGTGGAGACCACAAGTCATAGTGACATGACGTCTCACTTAACAACTGTTGTAAGTTCAGCACAATCACGTGATCTTTCACTTAACACCTGCATCACTTAATGAAGAAGTTGCTGGTCCCAACTATAGTCATCGAGGACTACCTGTATATTATTATTATTACATGTAACATTGTTATACATAAAACATAGTATTTTTATATATAAGTAAAAAATAACAGCATTTGAGGAAACAGAGTTAGTACATCCTACATGTATTTCATCGTATGAATATACAATCAGGAGTTACCAAGGAGGGATTGTTTCTTCTGTTTTGACTCAAAGAAACACATGTTCTAAGATTCCAACCCGCACTCCTCCAAACTCTTAGATACTTTGCAATTCATCTAAAATCTGCTACCTATTAGATAATTGACCTGGGGGAATGAAAAGCATTCTCTCCCAATCAGGCTAGGCCTTCCTATACAAGCGTTGTCCCCAGACATAAAAGTTCTGATACAGCACCAGACACAGCATGACAATATGCTAACAGTATGCTGTCCATCAATCCTTAGATTTTAACTCTTGAAAAATATATTGACCAAGTTTACTTGGTAAAATAATTACTGTTTGTAATGATCATTTAATAATTAATGGAATAATTAATGTACTGGCATAGATACACACACAAAATAACAGTTCACCTTGACTGTAAGTGTGAGAATGAACTGGACACATGCATCTATTGAAAAGAAAAAGGAAAATGATTACTGTAACGAAGTATTGAGAGGAAATATCAACTTTGTCGATAAAAACAATTGATAACTTTAAATCACAAGCATATTCTGCCACCTAGTGGCAATTACCTTTTATTGAAATGTCAATAATTGTATAACACCCCAATCTAATCTGAATTAAATTTAAACAGGCCTTAAAATGAGGCATTTTACATTCGTTTGCAATGTAAGATTTCAATCCCAGTTATTTATTACATCTATTAATGGCAGTTTATCTTTGCTATATTTTATCTTTTATTTTATAAAGTAGTCATAGGGGCAACAAACTATTAAGACTTTAAAGAAACTTTCTAAGGCTAAGAGTATGCTTCATGTTCACTTTGCCTAGCCCTTTGAACCATGTTTATCGAACAATTTCATTGGCTCCTATGGCATTTGTTTACAATTAGTGGTGCATATAATTTAAAGCTACTTATTAAATTACTGAATTCTCATGTGTTTATTATTTTGCATAGGCTCATTGCTCCTGGGTACTACCTACAGTTTTTTAAAACTGAGGCAATTTGAACATTTTATACAATAAACATTAATTTGTGGTCCATTATTTTAATAGGATTCAATAAATATGAATAAATCTCTCATGTCAACGCTTTCCACCTACTGTCTCTAATCCATTTATACCTACACATTTTTTGAAATATCATTCAATTCATGTTAAAAATGAATTGCTCTCCTCCAAAAGATATGTTTACATGGATTGTTTTATTTATATTTTTTAAAAGGGAAAACTACATAGGAAAATACATCTTTATTCCAAACAATTACTAATTGGTTTCATTTTTCTTCAGTGAAAAAAATGTTAATTTGAACATTTTAATTACTATATTTTATATTTCAATATTTCACCCCCTTCCCAAATATTGCAATTCTATCCAGAGTGCCTATGTTGCAGAGGATAGCATTCAGTACATGAGTAGTATTAAATAAATAAGTTTTGATTTGATTTGTAAATTACAACTTTTCTCTGTGTTGCTGCTCAGTTTACTATGCACCGAAGTCCATTTCTTTTTCTTTTCTTTTCTTGGTTTTTTTGTATTTACTTCAAAAATAAGATGTATAAACCAAAGTCAATTTCTGAGTTTGAGCAAATAATTTTCTGAAACAGAGACTAGCATTCTGTTTGTCTCTCTCTTAGCAGGACGCTAGATGGAAATAAGTAAATTAAGGTTATCAGCTTCCAAAGGTAAATTATCCCCGAACTTGGACCTGTGGGATTCTCAAGTCTTTTCTTACACGGAAGGATTGCTGCAGTTTTGTTTTTCCTAACGCTAAACAAACGAAGCTTCCAAGCCCGATTCCAATTTCGTGGCAAGTAAACCAAGCTGCTTTTGCCAGACGCTCCCAAACGAAGCTTCCAAGCCTGATTCAAATTTCGTGGAAAGTGAGCCAAGCTGCTTTTGCCAGGCGCTCCCATAAGAAGCAAGAAACTAAGGCACAAACTCACGCTGCCAGCTGCAGCTGCTTCAGCAAACGAGCCACCTTCTCGCGTCCTCCTCCTGCCATGACTTCTGCAGCTCTGTTTGAGATAGCAAGGGACGACGGGAAAGCAAAGTTAGGACAAATTGAGTAAAGAGCTTTAAAGAGAAAGGAAGAAATGGCTGTTCCTATATTGGGCAATCCGCTGCAGCAGCTCTCTGACAAGGGGAATAGGTTTGGGATCAAGGTCCGGAAGAGTACAGCGATGCGTTTATCTTTTTTCAGGCTATTGGGACATTAATTTAGAGCATTAGCCCTAGTTGGTGGATATCTTACCTGACTTCTTCATCCGAGCGTTTTCTCACAGGTGCGGGGTCCGAGGCTGACTGCATTGCTGTACCAGGACACATATTGAATCACAAAGTAGCCAGCCATACATAAACTTGTCTTCATAAGCTCTGCTGGTTTCGTTTATGGTTCATTATGCTGGGTGACCACAGCAAAATTGGATTGCATAAACCGTGGTTAAGCATGGGTATGAATGCTGTTAACAAAATCTTATTTTCTTTGGAGTTATAGGCTGTTTCTTAGCTCATGCAAAAAATTATGTCTATGCGTACGTAGAATGCGTTGATTCGCATGAAGATAATAGAGGCCAGAAAATTGGACTGCCAGTTTTCTAGGTCCTTATTTGGGATGTGCAGTGCTTTTAGTATCTCTACAGTAAATGCTAAGCACTCTGTATTCAAGCATACTGTGCTTAAACGGCATATACTTTTTGGGTATAAAGGTGGAATATAAATCAAATAAATGATGGACATGTAGTTTTAAAAACGCCAATTTCCTTATATATACAGAAATGAGAAAAGCTATTGGTACCTTTAACTTTGCAGGTACATTTGCTGCCTTGTGTTATATATTACCAACAGTGTGTGAAAAGCTGGCATAGTATCCCTAGGAAATCTATAGAATGCATGACTTTTTAGGGAAAGTATGAAATGTCTGTTATTTTAATATGCTAAATACCAATTGTTCTCAACCTTTTCTTCACTCCGGACCCTTTTTCAATACCTTTTGTGCCCATGGAGCATGGCCACAGATCCCCAACGCTTAACTCAAAATTTAAATCATGACATTTCTTCAGGCCTTCGCGGACCCCCTGTGATGACATTGTCCCCCCCCCATGCTCTTGAGAATCACTGCTATATACTGTACTTTCTCTAGGCTAACCCTAAGCCTTTATTGAAAAGACTTCATTTTCATTTATATGAAAATGAAAAAAGAAATACAAAATAAAGTACAGGACTTTCTTACTGAAAAAAAAAGAGAGAAAAAGACCAAAACTTGTTGCAACAAGGAAGGTTAGAATGGCATTTTAGCAGTATTTTATACTTTGCTGTTTTGCCTTTTGGCAAAAATGTGTGAAATAGTGTTTCATATTTTGATGTCCTATTTTTAGCATTCTATAGATTTCCTAGACATTCTATAAAATGCCTAATTTCACAGTGACAGCAACATATAAAAAATAGCATACACCATTCTTAATTCCGTAGAACACTTTCTCATATAACAATGTAGTGTTGTAACCAATAAAATTAGGTCCCACCCTCCACGGAAAGTATCACATAAAGTGGCATATTTTTATGTTCACTGAGACAATCTGTGTCCTGTTTGTTTAAATACTAGTATTTAAATGTATGACCAATGTTAGATTCATGTTTAATGAGAAACATAAATCCAGATAGGTAATGTCAACAAAGTGATACAACTACCGTAGATTTAATTTTTTTTTTTTTTTTTTTAAATCCTTTTAGGCCCTGGTCACCAAAAGTGTCAAGATTAATTTGCAAAATGGGATTTTTAAAGGCCAAAGAATATTCTATTTTGAAGTATAAAGCATGAAGTTTAAATATCTGTATTTGTTACTTTATGGTTCACTTGAATCCGCACTTACATAAGCAGCAGACGAGCATGTGCATGCGCACTCTATTTGCGTGAGGGGCGGGCATGCTTGCTGTCCGCTTGCACAAATGGAGCCACGTGTGCACGTTTGTCACTCACACGAAACCATCCTCCTACCCCCACCACCGGTATGCAAAGCCGGAAAGATGGGGAATTAGGCTAGACTACTGAATTGAATTTCTTAACACACACACACACACACACACACACACACACACACACACAAAATTTGTTTTCAAATAAAACTAGCCAGGTCTAATCTAATTGTCGATTATAGCGAAACAAGCCTTCTGTGTCGTATTTGCTGTGATACACTAGGCCCTATTATACATACCTTTAGTACATCTTTTAAAAACATATTTTTTTTTATGCTGACCTTTCCCAACCATTGACTCCATCTAACATTTGTTTTTAATAGATTTTATATTCCTATAAATCACTTTGGGATTTTTAACATATAAAGCATATACATATTAATAAAGTTGGGCTTGTTGGGAATCAGAAGTTTCCATTGTGGTGATTAAATTTAAGATTTTATGACTCCCTGCTGCTAAGAGCAGCAGAAAAAAACATAGGGTTTTTATTTAATGTCTTCAATCTTGCTGTAAGAACAGTGGGCAAGTACATACATTTATTTAATTATTTATAAATAAAGTACATATATCCACACTCAACATATATATCAGCCTGATTGTGTTTATTATCAGGGAATGTCTTATTTTGGGGGAAACAGGGTAAAAGAAAATCAGTTACCATGATATAAACACAATATTCTTCTAGTGATTTGCTTTCAACCTGGCTGACAATTGAGATACTGTAATTCAGATTCATGCAAAAGAAATACAGAAAAAATTAACACTGCAGCTCACCTCCTGAGAGATGTCCATTTCAATTCTCATTTAAAAGGCTTATTAGAACTTTATTATAAACAAAGCAGGTCCTTCTATATATTTTTATATATTCTATATATTTCAAGTCCTCAAGTCTTATTCTTTGAAGTCACTCCAATCCCCAGTAAAGTCGTTGTCTGAAGTGTACATCTAAGGTGATGTTTCTTCAACTTAGTTGTATAAAATCTTTTTTTATAAACCTTTCTTTATAAATCATTTTTATTTATTGCCAATGTCTTTATACACTCTTTAGTCAGGCCCCACAAAGTTCTTTGGGGGTTAAAGGCCAACGTTAAGTCACAATAGGTTAAGTTAGAATAATGTTTAACTTAGCAAGTCCACATTTTGTTGCAGCATTGTGTAAAATAAACCACTTGTCTGCTATTTAGCTGGGATAAATAGCAACCAAAGCTCATTTTCTTTTCCTTTTGCTGTTGAAGCTTCCAGATCCCCCCTGATTCCCTCTGCGACCTGCTCCTGTGCTTTTCTTGCCCCTGGCGTTTCCGGACCTCTGCTGCTGCCGTCGACCCCTCTTGCCCCGCTGGTCGCGCTTTTTGCCTTTGCCTCTGGCAGCTTCGGCCTCCTCTTCGCGGAGCTGCTTGTTGACCGCTCGGGTCAGGTCCAGGGGCGGCTTCTTGCTACTCAGGCTGCGGGCTAACTCCAGGTGCCGCTTCTTCTCTCCTTCAAGGTCTCCCAGCAGCGGCTGGAAGCGACGCTTCTTTCCGCGGGCTGTGTTGGTCTGCGCGACGGCGGGCTCCTTGGCAAGGCGAGGCTGGAAGCGGCCGCGGGAGGCGGTGGAGACGCGAGCAACGACGGAGACGCGGCCCATCTCGGCCCGGTCTTGGTGGCCCGTCGGGTGCAGGTCGGCCGCCGCCCGGCCCCGGTGAGCGCGCGCCAGGTTCCTCAGGCGGTTGAGCTCGTTGCGCGCCACCCGCTCCCGCTTCTCCTGGCGCCGCTTGGCGAACTGGTCCTCCATCGGGTCGGCCGAGTCCGGCACTTCCAAGAGCCATTCGCGGGAGGGATCCCCGCCGGCTCGTTGGTAACCCCAGCGCCGCCGCCACTCTTTGGCGGCTTCGTCCCAGACCAACGTGCCGCGCTTCTTCCGCGTCGGGCGGATGCCTTTGAGGCGCGCGAATTGCTCCCACTTGGTGGGCGGCCGAGGTTTGGGCAGCGGCTTTTCCCTGGGCAACCGCGTGGAGGGTTCGGGCAGGCGGCCCACCACGGGCCCCGCGCCCCCTTCCGCCCGCTCCGACGGCAGCGCCCACAGCTGGCCCACCAGCAACTGAGTGTTATCCCGGGCCAAAGCGCGCAGGAGGGGCTCGCGCTCCGAGGAGACTCGCGCAAGGGCGCGCGGAGCCGGGTTTTTATCCACCGCCAGTAAGTTGCCGACGTCGAACTCCAACTCCAGCTCCTTGTGCACCGCCACGCTGCGGTGGGTCTCCGCCTCGCGCTCTTCGGCGCGCGCCAGCAAGTCCTCAACCAGGAGGGTAGCCATAGCCACGAGCGGCTTCGCACGTGGCGGAAAAAAAAAAAAGGGCACTCTCCTTTTCCTCGCGCCGGCTCCTAAGACAGGGTCAGGGAGACTACTTCCGGGGCGAGGCTACATTAAGTTCCGGTTATGCCTTTCCGCGGCGTCGTTTGTATTTCAAACGTCGGAAGCCAGGGCTCCCTACTGATAATAGTCTCGTGGGGTATGGGTGGGTGCGTGCGTGGTATCCTGGGGGATGTAGTTCTCCATTGATCGGGAAGTTTGCTAAAAGAAGGGCTTCTCATTCTATCAATGGTTTTCGTAGTTCCAGATATAACGAGGGGTTTACTGTATCCTAGTCTCGCTCGTAATTTTTTTTACACAGACCTTCCTTTACAAAATAAATAAATACAAAATAATAAGTTGGAAGCAGGAGTGAAATGTAAAATTTATTACTACCAGTTCTGTGGGCGTGGCTTGGTGGTGGGGGTAATGTGACTAGGTGGGCGTGGCCAACTTTTTTTTTTCCTAATGCTTTGAAAAGCCTCTCTGCGGATCAGGCAACTCAGCTGGGATCGTCAGAGACTTTTCGAAGCATTTTTTTTACCACGTCTTCGGCCAAGAGGTTGCAGAAAAAAATGCTTTGAAACGCCTCTGACGATCCCAGCTGAGCCGTGCGATCATCAGAGGCTTTTTTTTTTAACTCTTAAAAGCATTTTTTCGTGGAAAGAGGTTGTAGAAAAAATGCTTTTAAAAGTAAAAAAAAAAAAAGCCTCTGATGATCGTGCAGCTCAGCTGGGCATGGTGGATGGGGGGGTGGCGCAGGGATTTTTGTTACTGGTCCTCCGAACCACGCCCGCCGCCATTGCTACCGGATCGGGCGATCCAGTCCGAACCGGGAGCATTTCACCCCTGGTTGGAAGGGACTTTGTAGTCCAACCACCTGCCCAAGCAGGAGAGCCTACCTACACCATTTCGAACAGATGGCAGTCCAGTCTCTTCTTGAAAGCCTCCAGCAGCCGCAATTGCTGAAGGCAAGCTGTTCCATTGGTTGATTGTTCTCACTGTCAGAAAATTTCTCCTTATTTCTATACTGAATCTCCTTGATCCGTTTCCATCCATTGTTCCTTGTCTGGCCTTCGAGTAGCTTTGAAAAATAGATTCTCCCCCTTCTTTCTGTGGCAGCCCCTCAAATATTGGGACACTGCTAGCATGTCACCCTCGTCCTTCTCTTCATTAGGCTAGCCATGCCCAGTTCTTGCAACTGTTCTTCATATGTTTTAGTCTTTAGGCCCCTATTCATCTTTGTTTCTCTTCTTGTGCACTCTTTCTAGAGTCTCGATTCAGCCGGTTTTATCCGGCTCGGGTGAACCAGTAGCAGTGGCTGTGGGAGGCGCCGCCCACCTGCGTGGATATCATGATGTCACTGTTTTGTGACATTTTAAGCCTCGGCATGCACAGAAGGCTTTGCACATGCGCAGATGACGGTGCACGCACATTGGCGAACAGGTAGGGAAGGTAAGTAAATTTCACCCCTGGTCTCAGTATCTTTTTTTATAGTGTGTATTCTAGGTGTGGTCCAGTGGTGGGTTGCTACTGGTTCGCCCCAATTCAGGTGAACCGGTAGCAGCGGTGGAAGGCTCCACCCACCTGCCCGGACGTCATCAAATACACTCTGTGCATGCACAGAAGCTTCTGCACATGCACAAAAGGGGTGCACATGAACGAACCGGTAGCAAAGGTAGGCGAAAGCCACCCCTGGTGTGGTCTTACTAAGGCTTTATAGTGTGGTATTAGTACCTCACATGATCTTGATTCAGTCCCTCTGTTAATGCAATTTAGGATTGCATTGGCTGCTGCCACACACTGCTGGCTCATACTGTATTTAATTGACTGTCCACTAGGACGCCAAGATCCCTCTCACAGTTACTGCTATTAAACCAGGTTTCACCTAGTCTGTACGTGTACTTTTGGTTTTTCTTGCCTAAGTGTAAAACTTTACTTTTCTCTACGTTGAATTTCGTTTTGTTAGATAGGGCCCAGTGTTCCTGTCTGTCGAGATCCATCTGGATCTTGAGCCTATCATCTAGGGTGTTGGTTATTCCTGCCAGTTTATTATCATCTGCAAATTTGATAAGTTCTTCTATTCCTTCATCTAAGTCATTTATGAAGATATTGAAGAGTACTGGGCCTAAGATGGAATCTTGTGGTATCCAACTGCTTACTTCCCTCCATGTTGATGTAATACCATTAAGGATTACTTGTTGAGCATGGTTTGTCAGCCAGTTACAAATCCATCTGGTAGTAATGCCATCTACCCCACTTTTTTCTAGCTTACCAAGAAGCAGGTTGTGGTCAGTGGTGGGATTACATTTTTTTAATAACAGGTTCTGTGGGCGTGGCTTATTTCGGTGGGCGTGGTTTGGTGGTCATGTGACCGGGTGGGCAGGGCTAGCTGATCATGTGACTGGGTGACTGTGGCTATGTGTATAGGGACTACTCAGAGGGCTGAAAAAAGTCATTTCTGACCAGTCCTCGCACTTTTGACTGGTCCTCACACTTATGACCATCCTCACATTTATGCCCGTTGCAGCATTCTTAACAACCATGTCACTCATTTCACAACTGCTTCTCTTCACCATGGTGACAAGATAGGACGAAAAACGTAAAATGTGAGGACAGTCGTAAGTGCGAGGACCGGTCAAAAATAACTTTTTCAGCCCTCTGAGTAGTCCATATGCACAAAAGGACTACCCAGAGGGCTGAAAAAGTGATTTCTGACAGGTCCTCGCACTTTTGACCGGTCCTCGCACTTATGACTGGTCATCATTTATGCCTGTTGCAGCATTCTTAACAACCATGTCACTCATTTCACAACTGCGGTGCTTCATGTGACCAGGTGGCCGTGGCCAGGTGGTCATGTGGCATCGCTTCTTTGCCCTAATGACAGTTTGCTGCATTGGTCATAAGTGTGAAAAATGGTCATAAATCACTTTTTCCAGTGCCATTGTAACTGTTGTAAATCAAGGATTACCTGTACAAAAATACAAAAAGCTTCTTTGCTTGCAAAGCAAAGAATACCAATCCTTAAATACCAATCATTAGATTAGAAATATTTGCAAACTGGAGTTACAAATCAGGGAGGGTACCAGAGCACCTTCAGGAATTAAAATAATTAAAATGCAATGATAACTATCAGCAGCCAACTCTTGCTCATAAAGTGAAACCCTTTAGCAGAGAGGTCATTTAAGCTCTCCAGAATGAAGCAAAGGAGCAAACAGAGTATCTGTTGTTTGTTAAACCAATTACCAGAACAAACAGACATAGAACTAGTCAGATTTCCGAAACTACTTCTTTTCAGGAACAGAGATTAACATTTTTCCTTCCAAACAAAGCTGAGTAGGGAAAATTATCTCATCACTAAACACAGGATTAAACATCACCAAGCACAGAATTAAACTTCAGCAAAAACCAGTTTTGACCAAAAGTCAGAAAGGGTATGTAAACTCACGTTTGAAAGTCAATCTTTCTAGCTAGCCAAGAAGCCTTGCTGAATGTCACTCATCTTGGTTTCTTGTCATTAAAAGCTTCTACTCCGTTATTCAATTATTTCTTCAAAGTGCTGATCATTGCATCCCGGCTGGAAGAACTTGAACAGGGGAGTTTTTCCTCCCAACAGCGGTGTAAAACGCTTAAAACAACCCTTGCCCTTTAAGAAAGTCAAGCAAAAAAAAAAAAACCTCCGGAACCGGAAGCGACAGTAAGTCTAGGCATACTGCCGGAGAGGCAGTTTCTATAAGCAGGGCAATAAAGATTAGGCTAGGAAACAACACCGAATGTTGTAATTCCTTACAGGATTAACCCTGTAAAGTGGGAAAAAACAAAAGGAGATTTCTTTTAACAACCAGTTCTCCTAACTACTTAACAACCGGTTCTACCGAACCGGTGCGAACTAGTAGAATCCCACCACTGGTTGTGGTCTACTTTGTTGAATGCCTTACTGAACTCTAAGTATACAGAATGACAAAGCCTAAAAAAGGTGTTGAAAAGAATTAACACTTTTTTGTACACTATATTTCACTATGCTATATTATACTAACAGCTTGCAGGTTTTTGGAGTTGTCTGAACATAATTCATTTTTCAGGAATTTTAGAGATTTGCTGCACCCTTAATATCTGTGATAATATTGATACAATGATACAGAAAGGTTCCTAGAACAGAGGAAGAATGGTACATACATTTGAAGTAGAAAAAACTTTCAGAACAAGTGCGATCATCTTATGAATATAAGGCCCCACTGGCTTCATACTATGAAGATTATATCACTGTATTTTTAAAGGCTGGTAAGGATCCTGCCCATTACCATATTTTTTGGACTATAGGACGCATTTTTTTTTGTCTCCCAGAAGAGGGTGAAAATGTCTGTGAGTCTTATACACCGAATATTGCCGAAGCCCCACCCACCTGCTGGCCATTTTTTGGCCTCCGTACGGCCTGTTTCTGGCCTTTTTCTGGCCTTTTTTTTTTTTTGCCTGTTTTCAAAAATGGACCAAAAAAACCCTTAAAAATGGACCAAAATAAGCCTCGAAAACAGGCTGAAAAAGGCCTCAAAAAACGGGGCCTCAAAAACAGACCCCAAAAAACCCTCAAAAATGGACCAAAAAGGCCTCAAAAATGGGCCCCCAAAGCCCCCAAATTGGGCCAAAATAAAGCTGAAAAAGTGGGCTGAAAAAAGCTTCTAAAATGGGCAGAAAAAAGGCTGGAAAAGAGCCGAAAAAAGATCTGAAAAAAGGGCCAAAAATGGGGCGCGTGGAGGCAAAAAACTTTTTTGTTGTTTTCCTCTTCTAAATATAGGTGCGTCTTATAGTCCGAAAAATATGGTATATAAATTGATTGATTATGTGCCATGAAGTTGTTTTTATTCCTAATAACTACATAGGTTTTCTATCCCTAATCTGTTCTTTCAAGTCTCCCAATGGTGTACTCAAATCTTGCAAGTTTAGTCTTCCTATAGAATATTAATCCTGCAGCTCATGCAATTACCTGATTGGAGGAGGAGAAAGAGTCTTCTTTGGGCAAAATTTTCAGTAACAAGGAGTGCCTTTGATTAATGTTTCTATTTCTTTGAAGTAAATAGAAGCAAGAATTTGGATTCTGATAAGAACAGAAGCAAAAATGTGCATTTTGATAAGAACTGGTTCAAAGGGACTAGATGCTAGAAGTGCTCAGAAGGTGAACTCTAGTGAACTCAAAAATTCATAATAATGTAAAAAACACAGGATGGGTTTTCTTCACTAATAATTGAAATGGAGGTAGAACTCAACAAGAATATTGTCTGTTTTCTCTAATTTGTAATATGGTTTTGGAACTTCTATCATGCCTAAAGAGACAAATTCATGGAATTTGGAGAATTTGTGTAACTGAATTTGTATTTAAGATATTGGATAAGAGGGTTTTTTTCTCCAGTGAATATAAAATCTTTATGTAAAATTTATAAAGTACAGTTATATGGTTGATTTCTGTGTAATAAATACATAAATTGGGGTAAGTAGTATTATGTCAAAATTCTGACAACTGTTTAGATTTTTTATATTGTCCAGAAGTCATACCCACAGAAAAGCATCCAGATTGGTAGATAAATACATTTGAAAACATTGCCCACATGAAAGATTTGAAACAATTTTTTTTAACAGCCCCCTTCAAATTTACAAAACTGAAAAAATAAATATGTCATAGATTTAAATGCACGGTTTCAAGTGGTCTTGGTGATAGTTCTAGTATTTTATTCAGGCTTGTTTTTGGAATAATACTGTTAATTACCACAAGATGGTACTGTGCCTTGATAACTCATATTTTCTTTACAACTAACAGAATTGATATTTTAAATTTAAGGAGTTAATTAAATTTTAAGAAGACTGAAAGATTCCTCTGGCCAGATCAGTTTAATGGACAGTATATAGTTAAAATGCTGCCTGTCTCAATATGCCCTCATGGTCTTTTGCAAAATGCCAAATGTATCCTTTTGGGACTAGTTTATACATGTTTAAGTCCAACTGTATTTAGCAAAATGTTGAACTAGAATTGAATGCTTGTCTTCTATTTCATCTTGAAAGACTGATTCAAAATAACTTACAATACTGATGTTAGTTTTTGTAAAGAACCAGGTTATGTAAGTCCTTCCTCTAGGCTGAGAAGTGGGTTACCTGCAGAATGCAAACACAAAGGAATGGAGGGGACAAATGGAGCTAAAGCAACCTATAACCTCTTAGAGTCCTTCTCATTTGTTGCCTAGCATTTTTAGCCTAAAATTAGATCTATTCCTTCAAGTGGGTTACTTTACATTAGCACCTCTACTCCTTTTGCCATTAAGCACTGAATAATCCCAGTCAATATATATTGCTGAGGTTATTTGTACTTCTTTATGTATAAAGATTTAATGGATGGATTGTTCTTAAACTCATTCACAATAATACATATACAATCAAGGCCAAATTAAGTTCATAATTTACATGATTTAAAAAAAATCATGTATGGTAATTTTGATCTGGAATGCTACATACCTTCCCACTGTGGATAATATTAACAATAATGTTAACATTGTAATAGATTTATTTGGAACCAATATCCTAGTTTTTTAATATTTCAGTTTCTCTGCTAATCATGATTTGTGTGAACCAGTCTTGTAAAACTAAGAATTGGTTCAATATCTGACTTCTCCAGAGGCTAAAATACATTTTCCAAAGAAGAGAGGAAGAATTTGATGAGTCAAATCTATTCACCAGGACAGTGTTTCTCATTGTCAGCAGCTTAACGATGTATAGACTTCAATTCCCAGAATTCCCCAGCCAGCATGCAATAGAGACATAATCTACCATTTTTAGGGGATCCGGGTGTGTGTGTGATGAATTATATTTTCACAGAAGCAGCAGGTTGTAGATGCAGTATTAGTTTCAGGAGAAATGGAAACAGACCTTCTCCAGTGAAATTGTCCTATTCTATGGAATTATTTTATTAATATGGTATTCCTAGCATTCTTTCCTCTTCTATTTTGGCTTCAATATTCATATCTGCTGCTTATTCAGGCATATCCGCTATAGTTTCTCTTCAGGCTGAAACCTAGAACTATAATAAGTGAAACCACCCCAGAACTTGAGTAACTTCAAAAAAAGAGATTCTGAGAAATAAATAAACCCAGCCCATGAACTATGCTTTAAATATTCTTGTAAAAATAGAAATTCTTGCTTATCTACACGCCCACTCTCAAAAAGCTCATGACATAAGTATCATTGCAAACATGCATGTTTGGGAAAGCAGAAAAAAGAGGAGGCAGGGAAAAGTACTTCATAAAAACTTTTGAAAGGATTAAAAGGCAAATGAGGACGAGGATATCTCATAGATCAAATTGAATTATTACATTTCCTTCAGTCCAAATCTCTGCACAACATCCCTGACTAGTACATAATTTTTTTCCTGATTAGTAAAACAGATATGGGAGCAAACGTTGGATATTCAGAAATTCTAGGATGCAGACGTATTGATACTACTGTGGAATCGTTTTATCAGGATCGGTGAAATCACAACTAAAAGTCAAGCAATAATATATATGAGAGTTTGGTGTCAAGCTATGTGGTGTAGTTTTGGTGGTGGTGTCTGAATAGTCAACTCTTTGAGGTAGGATAAGCTGCCAAACTCTCTAACTTAATTCTGCCACTTCTTGGTGATCTAGCAATTCCGGTACTTCACCAAATTCATAATGTTCTACAAAGTATTTTTCAGTATGGTCACTGAGTTATGCAGTATCTTTACTATGTTGACATTTGAGATTAGGTGTTAGACGTTGTAGGATTGGTATAGCTAATTTTAGGTAGAGATGCCTCATTTTGTTGACAACCTTCATTTTGCTTTTAGATATTTTCTCTTTAGGCCGCTCCTTTTTGCTCATCCTTTTGCCCTAAAATTCCTGCAAGGCTAAGTGATAGCTTTATCAAGGAACTCATACCAGGCCAGCAGTTCCTGTTGCAGATAAACTAACTAGAAAATTTTGAATATTAAATTAACGGCCGTATCAGTTATAGACAGAAAGGCGAGCACTGTAATATTTTATTAATGAATCCACCTTCTGGGAGGGTCATCCTCTACCCTGGGTGTGAATACTTTGTTGCTTGTTGCTTTAATAATCATGTGTCTTTATTTTTCAAAAGTGTATAAAAGCTATGCTAATTTGTGTACTGGGGCTTTGGATTTGTGATTTAGTCTTGAAAGCACATGAGACTGCTGTACAAAATAAACAGGTTGCCATTTCTAGTCTTATGTGATAATTGGCTATTTTGCACCAGGGACAAATAAATTCAGCATTTGGTTGGGTTAATTCACGGTTTGACCAACTTCTAAAGCTGAAAATTACTATGAAAAGTAGAAAAATATGGCTATGCAAGGAGTTGGATATTTAGTAACATTAAGTATTAAAGTCAAGTCTTTTTTTTGCAGCTGTCATTGGTAGTCATAAGGCAGCCAGTTAGGGTCATCTTCTCTTGAGGTCAACAATGGTACATTCTCTGTGTGTCTATTGGCTTGTTGGAGTCTTCAAGGTCGTTCAGTACCAACTTATCGGAAAACGTATTGAGCACCTGTCATCATTCTTTACCCTACATGAAAAAAACTGAGATACTCTATCTCTGTTGCAATAATGAGTTGTTTGTGGTTCATCTCTCAGCATAGTGAAGCAAGCTTGCAGAGCAAACTGCTCTGAATAAGCAAGCTGAGCAGTTCTCCCAGATATTCCAATTCTTGACAGCAGTTGAATATTATTTGTGGCTCTTTACCCTTTGAGGGCAATAGCAATACCAATTTTTTACTTAAGGTGATCTGAAATGGTTCAGTGTGTATCTCAATAATACTGGATCATGGACATTATAATTTTTGCATGTGGAATTGGTATCAGTGGCTATTAGCCTTCATGGCAATTTGACTGTTTTGAAGGTGCCCACTGGAAGACTAATGGCTTTGCTTGTGCAATTGATTGGCTAGTGTGAGAACAGAATCCTAGACTAGTGGGGCTAGAGTACCAATCCAGCAGGACACCTTTTATGTTAGCTCATTATGAGCCTTGTTGCGCAAAATCGGAAAAGTCTAACCAGGATAATTTCTATCACAGAATTCGAATAGCTTTCTGAAATTGGATGGTGCTTATTATTGCATCATTCAGACGGTTCTCACTCATGATTAACTCAGAAGAACAACAAAGAATTTGTGTGGCACTTCAGAAATTAACAAATTTATTATGATATATTCTTCCCAGTAACTATATCAACTGAATAGAAGAACAAATCTTATGCATTTTGAAGCATGACTAAGAGACATCTTTGTGATGACTTGAAGTGATCTCTGATTGCCTAAGGAGGAGATATCACACTTACTTTGAAGTTAGATTATTGACTCATAATAATGGTATTATTTTAGAATGGGAGCTGAATGAAGTGTCATGTTTGTGCAATGGAGCACAATGCATGGAATATTTTCAACATTTTTACTACTGCGTATAATACAAACAACAACAGCAGATGAAAAAAAATCAGCATCTTTTCTTCACTTTGTTTAAATGTGAATGCATCATTTTTTTTACCCGGAATATTTTTTTTCTCAGTTTAATCATTTTAAAAATTTCTGACATGATTTCATAACTTTACATATTTGAATGCATGATTAAACTGGTTGTAGTGCTGAATAGCTGAAGTATTAGATGAAACACTAGGATTTTGTGACTATCCATTCAATGCTTACTGAAGGTATACAGGTTACAGGTAACCTTTCTGGTTTTACTGGTTAAGAAAACATTACAGAGGTTTTACAGTATTCAAAACAAATGTTCTATATGTCACAAAAGAAGGAAAGTGAAGAGAGATATAAAATAACTGCAGGCATATTTAGGTTTACAAGAATGATAATTGAAACAGAGAAACCTAGACAGTGGATGCTTTTATGTTTTCTTTCTTTTTTATAGACAGCAGAACTATTTACAATAGGAGTTTACAACAAGATCCTGGTTTCTTAAGTCTCTCTTTCAGATTTCCTGCCTCATTTCTGGCGAGGGCGGGGAAGAGAAAGAAAGTAAAAGAAAAGTGCTGGACTGACAAATGAGAGTTCTCAGTCCACTTCTCTCCTTTCCTTGGATCCATTTAGCTGATCATCCTTTGTGTCTCCTTCCTTGGGGGAAGAACCTCTCTGCCCAGTTTACCCCAAAGACTAGAATTTTGTCAAAGACAGACTCTTTCTAGTCTTGTGAAAAGTTTGTCATGTGGGGAATTTGCTTCTCTTCCTCCAGGGAAGCCACCTGTCAGTTTTTCTCCTCCGGTTTGAACATTGTTCCACACACACACCAACCTTAGTCTGCAATTTTTTTTCCTCTAACCACTCTCTTTTACAACAGTCTTTTTAATTTTCTTTTTTTCTTTTCTCTCCTTTCTCTTTCCAATTTGGGGTTAGGAAAGCAGCAGCTCTCTCCCTCTGACCCACAGAAACCTTGGCTAGCACCATTCTCACAATACGCCTACACTTCAAGGCAGAATTGAACTACTCCCCTTTTTCTCTTTCACCTTTTTCTGAATCACGCCAACTCAATAGCAACCATACCAGGCCATTAAGATTATTATTATTCCTGCATAATGCGAAAAAGAACAATAGCTCAAGAATTAGAATTACAATTGCTTATTCTTCTTTTAAAATTGCATAATCTTTTTTATATATACTTGTTATTAAAACTTTTAATAAACAAAAAGCTAACACAAAGTAACACACAGTAAGGAATAAAAAAATAAAGAAAAAGCAAACAAGGCAATAAAAGAAAAGAAGTTGAAGACAAATATAACGTAGCTTCCAATATTTACCAGTTAGTTAATGTGTAAATGCAAATATATTTTGGCCTCTCTCTCTTTAAAGATGCATCATGTTGCTCTTCTTTCTATAATCTATCTTGTCTAATCATCAAGATCATAAATCACATACACAAACTTGTATAATCTTTTAAGTAGCCCCTTGAGTTGAGAAATGGTGAGAAAATGAATAACTGGAGAGTACAGTTATTACAGTAAAAAAGTATCAAGGGTCGTTGAAATCAAGCTGTATTGCTAATGTTCATGTAATTGGTACTGGTACTGGTACTGGTATAAAAAAGATTTGGGGGGTTTTTGCTTTTATTTCTCAGTTCAGCCTACACTCCCAGACCTACCTGGTTTTCTCATCTATATACTAATCTAAGCCAACCCTGAGCTTTTGAGTCCATTTAGAATTTAGCTGGAGTTACCATACAGGTAGTCATTAGCTTACAACCATTTATTTAATGCCCATTCAAATGTAGAACAACACTGAGAAAAGAGATTTACAACCAGTTTTCATATGACTGTTGCAGCACCCCATGGTCACATGATCAAATTCAGGCATTTGGCAACCAGCATGTATCTACTGTCATTTGTGACCTTGCCAGTTGGCTTCTAAGCAAAGTAAATGTGAGAAGTCAGATTTGCTTAATGATCACAGTGATTCATTTAACAACTGTGGAGGAAAGGTCATAAAATTAGGTGCAGCTTTCTTAACAACCACCTTGCTTACAAATAGAAATTCTGGTCCCAGTTATGGTCATAAATCAAGGACTTGCCTGTATGTTGAGAATTGTTATGATGCAAAGGTATTATATTTTATACTATGTCATTAGAATATGTAGCAGCAGCTATATATTTATAGCTGTTTGCAAGTTGATTTTTATGTTACAATATGCATTTTATAAAACAATGAGCAATGAGTTTTCTCCAACAGCTGATGGAACAACATCCAGGAATAAAAAGCATTTTTTCTTTCCTCTTATCTCATTCCCTTCACTCTTCATTTTCCAAATCAGTTCAGGGGAATAAAGAAAGGAGAGCAAGAGGAAGTTCCATTGTATAAATGGAAGTTTTTCCACAGAATGTTTGTTAATAGGTTTCTATCTATTTTTCAATAAAAGATGGAATATTTTTCACTCAGGTACATTCTCCCATGTTTCTTTCACCAACCTCCCTAGATATTGTACGTCAAAATGTATGCTTTGTGGATTTTCTCTTATTTGATAGGTTATTTTTCATTCCAAAAGATCTGTATGGTGAACTAGTGCACGGAAAGCCCCTCAGAGGGAGACCACAGCTGCGATATAAGGATATCTGCAAGAGGGATCTAAAGGCCTTGAGAATGGACATTAATGACTGGGAAACCTTGACCTCTGATTGTTCAGTTTGGAGGCTAAAGACGCAGCATGGCCTTCTCCAATTCAAAGAGACACTTATTCGGCAGGCTGAGGCAAAGAGGCAGTCTCGGAACCAGCGAAATCTGGGGGCTGGGCAGGGGACAGAATGTATCTGCCCTCAGTGGGGAAGGGATTGCCACTCTCCAATTGGCCTTTTTAGTCATACCAGATGCTGTTTTAGGACCTCTTTTCAGAGCATGATACCATAGTCTTTTGAGACTGAAGGTTGCCAATGTATCCAATGTATTTTTCGTTACATTTAATGTATCTATATGTGGATATAATATGGCAATTAAAACACACAAATGGCTAGAACATGGGCAAATATACATAAAAAACCAAGTTTTTAAAAATTCTTTATCATTAATATTATCATCAATAGTATTTTTAACTGAACACTCTTCCTTTAATTAAAATCATCCTGGTCAATTTCTTGATCCAATAATTTAGCCATTCCCTTTCAGATAAGTTGATATTATATAGGTTAATCTTGTTGCTTTAAGTCTCCAGGTTTATTTTTTTAATACTGAACTTCAGCATCTTAGTCTATTTATTTTAGTCCCTGTAATATATACCGGTACTGCATGTAACTGTTACTATTACTAATAACCTATTGTAGGCCCAATTTCCTTTCCTTCTCTCCTGGGACTGTGTTATTCACATTTGTATTTTTAACTCTTCTCACGGATCTTTGAAAAAATATTTTCCCTAATTGGCTATGCAGTTTATAACTCATATATTTCTTACTATGAAGATGTACTATCCAGTAATGTACTTTCCACTATTTACCCTCTCTTTGTGGTTAGATTCCGAATATTAGTTTTAATTCTGAGTTTAAGTCTTGGCGATATTCTGTTTTACTACAGCATATTATACTTCTATAATATAAAACACAAATGTTGTTCAAGAGCTCATATGGATCTGCTTTGTATTTCTTTTTTATTGCTTCACTGTTTTTGTTTTGTTTTTGTTTTGTTTTTGTTTTATGTTGGTCATTAACTGAAAGAAAGGAACATGAATGTTTCTTCCTTTC